GTTGTAGACAGGATCAGCACAAAAGAAATCAGTTAGTGTATGCTATATTTAGAATATTTTCATCACTTTTCCTAATTGTCAGACAGCCGTTTCCGACTGCAGCCTGGTATTGCTGTCTCCAAATCCTCCAGAGTAATTTTTTACCTCGCAATTTAATTTACTTTTTGTATAATTCATTAAAAATTCAAGCCAACAGTGAGAATACTAACCTTGCCAAAGGTAAATGCAAGATATTTAGATATAGAGAGACAGGTTAGGAATGTCAGACAGTACCTTGAATATGACAGCTGTAAAACGGTGAAATTTGAAAAAACATGACAGAACACATGTAGGTAAACATAGTGGAGTTAGAATAACCCAGTAAGTTAATTAGGGATGGAAATTGAGAACTGTTTCCAGTAACGCACCAGTGCCACTGCTTCCCAGCCGAACGGCACATCCGTTACTGAGGGTAAATATCCTAAATATATAACTGAAAACTGTGCAAATATTAACAGATATTAGAGATGAAAACTGAGAACTGACTCTAGTTGAGAACTGGTTCCAAATTAAACGGTTGTTAAACAGTAGAGCTTTTGCACGCCTGAGTAACATGCATCAATTTTCTACTCTTTTTTTACACTGTGTTCAGACTTAGAGATAATAAGACAGTTCCCTTGAAGCTGAAAATCAGTTTAGGCCTACTTTTGATCAGGAACCAATAAGGGAATTGACAAAAAGTCTGACCCATAATGGCATTGGTATCAGTAAAAGCTATCAAAAAGTTAATTAGACACAAAGGGGACAGTAGGTTCCAAGATTATGCCACGATTCAGAGTGTACACTGATGGCTGATGAAACACTTAACACTTAAAATGTCCATCCTGTTTAGTTCAATAAATGAATAGAAGAGAAAAAGCTCAAGAAAAAAAGGGATACATATACACTAATCTTTCCTGAATTGCGCCTCTCATTTCCATAATGAAGAATCAAATTTCCAAGTCATTCATACTTTCATTAAGTTCCTGTCGACAAAAGAAACTTCTTTTTTACGGATGAGTGCAGAGTGTGTGAGAACAGACAGACGGACCGAGCCTAGTGGGGCCCAGGAGAGCCCTGGGGCCCAGACACAACAATAAGTTCCTTTATTACAGGCTGACACTGAAGACAGCAGAGGCACACCCCATGGGCTTTTCATGCATATCAGCATATAGGCCTGCATGGAGACACATTCACAGACTCATAAGCACAGATAGTAAATAACCTCCCACAGACACTGAGAGGACACTGTCTGCAAGTTTGGTGCAAACAAACTATCTTATGTTTCGACCAACGGTTATTAAAAGCACCCAAACACAAACAAGTCCTAATGTGCTGATGAGTTAAAGCTACCACTGTGGCAGATGTACAGTGCTAACATTAGCCTGAAGACATTATGCTGGTCTGAGGTCTGGGACCTTTAAAGTGTCAACTGATGAGCTAACAAAGATGCACAAGACAAGAGGACTTTCCACTTGTGTCCACAGCTGCTTATAAAGATTAAACTTAAGCAAATGTCCTGTGCCAAGTTCTTGTTAACTTTTACAGAGGAGCAATACAAAAACCAACCTGACTGGAAACATCACAAAATGGCATAATGGTTTGATGATGTGTATGGCCCAGGACAAGAGGACTCTGCAGCAGGTGATTAAAACTGCCCAGTTCATTGGTACTCAGCTACGCATTGACATATAAAAGATGGATGTCGCATCTGCACTTCCTCCCACTGTACAAAAATGAAAAGCAGAGTCTGCGCAGAAGAATCTGGGTTGGAGCCATGGTACCGAGGTTCCACCCATACACCCAGCCGACTTAATAGCAAGCAGGGCTCAGCTGTAATTTATAACTAAACATTATTCAAGTACTCCTAGAAAAAGTTATACTTGGGCATAAAAGTGATAAGAACTATACCTAAAATGAGGCGCCTTGGTAGCATAAAAAAATGTATGAAATTTTATTTGATGTTTACTTTATGACATATACTGCAGTCAGCCACCAGAGGTTGATCGAGATCTTTCACTTTCACTTTTCACTTTTGGGTAGCTGTCGTGTCTATCCAGCATCAGTGATATTGATGAGGCAAGGTGCCTGCAGTGCCCAAAGGATGGTAAAAGACAACACCAACCCCAGCCACAGCCTGTTCACCCTGCTGCCGTCTGACAAGAGATACAGAAGTATCGGCTGCTGTACCACCGGCCTACAGAGCAGCTTCTGTTCAAGCTATGCTTAATTCATCCTTAGCACTCCATCATGTAAAATATATATATACATATATACACAGTGTAGAAAAAAAAGAGTAGAAAAAAGGGATGCACATTACTCAGGTGTGTAAAAGCGCCACCATTTAATTTGGAACCGGTTCTCAACTGGATACTTGTTCTAGATTTCCATCCCTAATATAATATTTGCACACTATTCATTTTATTTATTTAAGTCTCAAACTGCCGGCCTTGGGGCCATTTCCACTCCCACCCATAAGGGTGTCAAATACATGAGAATACTGAAATTTAAACCCATGTTGCGTTGAAAGATGTTTAAGTATATCGCTGATGTGAAATGAAGCCACGCTTTGGAGCGTTTCTTCATGCATGCATGAGTTGCAACAGCATAGACACATACATTTCATGTCACTGTTTTGCCAGGCCCGACTGTCAGTAAAACATGCTGGCACCAATAAAAGGAATTGATAAGCTCGTAGGCAATGACTGATCTCAATTCCCATCCCTGAGTCATACATTACGTCCTGACCTGGCGCCTTTCTTCTATACCTTTCTTCTATATTTTTCCAAACCTGGTGGCTACTTTCTGGATTCCAAATCCCAAAAAACTAAAGTATCTGAGGAAAATAGAGAATTAATAGTCTGTGGACAGTTTGCTTTCACTGCCAATGCTACTGGCTTACCAGTATGCCTGATCTGTGCTTATGAGGCTCAAATATGTTTTGTAACTCCAGACAGATTTTTTTGTTTTTCTTTTTTGGCCAAAAATGGCTCTTTTATAGAAAAGGTTTCTGACCCCTGCCCTAAACTAGGAAGTGCAACAGCAAAACAGAAATGAAAAGAAAAAAAGGGGAAGCATAAAAACTCCAGTGTTACCTTATCAGTGGTACAAAAACACGTTTCTATAGCTAATTTTTCCATTCAAGACAACTGTACAGGGGGTGAATTTTTATATAACTCACCCGTTTAAATTATATAAAGACTTAAATTTCAAGGCTTCATTCAGCTCACCTCAGCTCCACTTCTTTGCCCATTTTGGATTAGCAGGCAGCCAGAGCTGGAGACTGCGTCCATTTTTAGTTATACAGCCTATGATAGTAACAGAGCTTAATTTAACTTAAGCTTAAAAATTGTAAATTGGCAGGAAGGGAAGTCAGTTCATTAGTAAATGTTCAGTGTAGTCTAAAATATCTTTAGATATTTTTTATCACAAATTCCTCCAGGAATTGTAGGAATTGTATATTTTCACAGATTCAGAGAGTAAAAGCAACTATTAATCTACTAATTCACTGTGGTTAAACACAGCATAAGGACTGGAAGCAGGGGGAAATAGCTAACCAAGGGGAAGGCAACCTGTGGCTTTAGAGCAGTTTCATGTATAATTAGGCCTAAAGTGATTTTAAGATTCTACAATTGTAAAGGTGTGTAGAGTAAAGTATGTGTGTGTTATGTTCTTTTTTATTTATTATTATTATTTTATTTATCTTTATTTATGTGCATAAAATAAAAGATAATTAAATATACAATAACAGAAAAAGCACAGATGAAATGAAAAAAAACCTTGAGGGCTTGTGAAAGGAACCCAACACAATTAAAGAACTCAAATTTACAAACAGATAAAATATCTAAAAGTAAGAAGAAAATCGTATGCTCTTCTTACTTTTAGATATTTTAGTGTGTCAGTGTCCCTAGCTAAAAATACACCAACTCCTCTAAAGCTCATTGATTTATATGTTGCTTCTTATTGTTTATTCTGTACCCAATGAGACATGATATATCAGTCTTCTCTCACTCTCAGAAAAATGCAAATAACCATTACCAAAAATCTTTTAATTTTGTTAATGTTTGTTTGAGGTGGAGCTAATTTAATAGCTAATCTAATAGCTACGGCATCAATTTGACAACGTGTATATATAAATGTTCTAATTGCCTGCTGGTCAAAACATCATCCATCACAACTGTCAGTGTGTGACAACAGTCCGTGCCTGCCATGCAGCCTCTCTGCTCCTGAAATTAGCTAACTTGCTTGCTAGCTGTTATTTGGGGGTAACTGGCATGGAAACGTTTGGGAACCCCCTGATAGAGAGAGTTAGCAGGGACCCCATACAACCAGGGTTGGTTGCAATATTGCCAAGTGCAATATCCAAATCCCAGAAGCTGCAATTTGTTTGATAAAGGTAAAATGTGACAAACAGCATTATAATGAAGTACTGTAGTGCTGCAGAGATGCCCTGGCCTACAAATCTTGGTCTCCAGATGTAAAAAAACACATTTGTTTGATACAGATGGCAAAGAAATTTGATTGATCTTTATTTGAGTATTTTGCTAAAGAAGCCAGGGATTGAACCACCAACCTTCCAATCAGCAGACAACCTGCTCGGCCTCTGAGCCACAGCCTGCTCCCAAACAATAATTTGGAAAGCACATTATAGTTTATAAGCTAATATATCAGCTATCAGTAATCAGCAAACTAGCTGTCAAATGTAGTGAGAGTAAAAGTGCAATAAGTAAAGTGCAAGTATCCCAAATTTGTATGAAATGTATGTATGTATGTCTGAACAAAAACCCCCATAGCCATGAGTACAATTAGCGTATTTTCTTCTGTGGTGTGTGTGACTGTTGGTATGGCACAGTGCAGCAGTCAGTAAGACGACACCATGGTCTGTTTTTCCTCTTGTAAGTTCAGAGTGCTTTCACAGAAAACCAGAGTCCCACACACAAAGACTGTGACTGCTCACAGACAGCAACAGCTGGAGGACTTACCACTGGAGCAGTTGGATCCCCCCCAACCCGGCTCACACTGGCAGGTGTTGGGGGCCATGCAACGGCCGTGAACGCAGCTCTCTGCACAATGAGCTGCACATGGAGGAGACAGGAAGACAGGGATCAGAACAGTCACAAAGATATCTGCATCAGAGTCAGTCATGTAGAGGTAAAATGATAATGGTTTTAGTTTAGACTTTCCCTTTAAAAGAGCCATTAGATGTGGCACCTGAATCTGACTTACGCTGTAAAATAAGGACTTGGACTCTGTTGTGAGACTTGGCTTACTTGAGACTTCCATGTCTGAAGACTTGACTGAATCCAAAATAGGATCGGACCATTTTTCTAAAAATGTCAAGTTCAGTTATAAATAATCATTGTTTTTCGACCCCTAACTATTTTCACTGAGTAATGACTAGACTGTTTTCAAAAGAGCAGAGTGCTTTAAACAAGAAGCAAGAAGACTCAGAACAGTCTACCTTAAAGGCTTCGTTTTGAAATGAGAAAAACTAAATTGGAAAAGGAGCTGTTTCCCGACTACTGTTTATAAATAGGGCAATTAATAATAAATGTACACACACACAATTACATTCTTAAAATACAATAAATCATCCGACCAGCAGGGGCGATAATACCTGCATGAGAGGTATGACCCTTCTCAAAGCCTTGACTTCTAGGTCACGACAAAAAAGTATTTTAATTCCCGATTTCCATTTATAAGCACATTAAATAAAATTTTGTCATTTTTACTTTTTCATCCCCCTATTTATAAATGGTATTCGCAAACCTGATTTTGGTTTTCTCATTTCATAATTAAAATCCTTCTGCCACAAAGTACAGTGACCCTTCAAGCTAAAGTGTGTGTGACAATGTGGGTGAGAAAACAACAATGGTGACTGCTAAAGAGATTAGCGTAGCTGCTGCTAGTATCAGTTCTATAAGAACGATGAGTATTACTTTCTTCATTGAAAGAAGAGCAAAGAAAGGGCATTTGGGGAGGGGGGAGTTTGTAGATGTCTGTTACAGTCTCTCCCTGGGAATGTAATTATTTTATTTCTTTTTCTTATTTATTTTCTGGCACCTTTCTCATTGTTAATCGATAGGGTGTATTTTTTGTAGTTCTATTTTGTAAACAAACCACTTTTTTCCTTTTATAAATATATAAATAAATAAATATACCGGTAAATGCCGTCTTTTTGAACAAAATCCGAGCACTCCAAGGCAGGCTGCACTGAGCCTCGGCAGTCACCTGAACCTGACCCCCAGGATTCAGAGGGCGCTAATGCAGCTATGTTTCATAGCAGTAAGCAGATGATAGACCACCTATGAGCAGAAATAGTTGATGACTTTAACTTGATAATCTCAGAGTCGGTTAGAAGAAAGATTACGACCGCTTTAGAGCCATTTGAACATGAACTTTCTTCACATCAGGAGACCATTAAGGACCTGGAAGAGTCTGCTACTGACCACGGTAACCAGCTTGCCAACCTCCAGGCCACAGGGGCGCACAAGATGGAACAACATTCGCCTGGTGGGTCTGCCCAAGGGAGCGGAGGGTCGTCCCACGGATTTTACAGCCTAATCTACCTCCGCACCGCCCCTACGACTGCGCCATAGACATGCAACCCGGCTCGAACTCCTCCCAGGGGTCGCCTGTACTCCCTGTCCGCCCCTGAGAGAGAAGCCATGGACACTTACATCAATGACTCCCTGGCAGCAGGTATCATCCGTCCCTCCTCCTCTCCTGCCAAGTCCCTGCGACCCTGCATCGACTACCGAGGCCTTAATGACATTACTGTCAGGAACCCTCTCCCTCTCATCTCCTCTGCCTTCGAGCTCCTGGAAGGTGCCACCATCTTCACTAAGCTGGACCTGCGCAACACTTGCCACCTGATCCTCATCCGAGAGGGGGACGAGTGGAAGACGGCCTTCAACACACCCTTGGGGCATTACGAATACCTTGTGATATCGGAAGTTTATCCGGGGCTACAGCACTGTTGCTGCACCTCTCACAGCTCTAACCTCCTAGGGGTAGGAGCTGTTCTCTCCCAAAGAGCAGCAGAAGACCAGAAGCTTCACCCCTGTGCCTTTTTCTCCCGCCGTCTGTCCCCGGCCGAGAGAAACTATGACATTGGCAACCGAGAACTCTTCATCAACCTGGCCCTGGAGGAATGGCGCCACTGGCTAGAGGATACCAAGCAACCGTTCCTGGTATGGACAGACCACAAGAACCTTGAGTACATCAAATCACCAAAAAGGTTGAACTCCCGACAAGCTCGCTGGTCCCTGTTCCTCACCCGGTTCAATCTCTCTCTCTCCTATCGGCCCGGTTCTCACAACGTCAAACCCGACGCCCTGTCTCGTCAGTTTGTGGAGAGTGAGGATGCTGTCCCCAATTCTGATAGCATCCTTCCATCCTCATGCTTGGTCACCCCCCTCACCTGGGAAGTAGAGGAGAGAGTTAAGGTGGCCTTGGAGGATCAGCCTGGACCCAGCTCATGCCCTCTTGACCGTCTGTTCGTCCAGAAAGTATGGCTGTCCACCCGAGACCTCACTCTAAAGGTGGAATCCAAGAAACTGGCACCCAGGTTTATCGGCCTCTTCGAAGTGGAGAGGGTTATCAACCCTGCTGGTCCCGTCGTCGAGGGAGGGGTCTCTAGTACCTGTTTGACTGGGAGGGATACGGTCCTGAGGAGAGGTCCTGGGTTCCAGCACGGCACGTCCTGGGCAACAACCTCATCAGGAACTTCCATCGCCGAAACCCTGACCAACACCTCCAAGATGGTTACTTCTGCCAGGGGGACTCTCCAGAGTGCTCCGCATTCTCAACCGTCCAAACCGCCTGGGGATGATGGCGATGATGTGGGCTCCTCCTCTGACATAGATGAAGCACCCCCGAGTACCGAGATGGAGGTCGACAACTACTTCTCGGATGAGTATTAGCGCTCCTACAGGCCCCCGCCTTCCATCCGGCTATATATATATATATATAGTTGGTGGTTTTTGGGACGGAGGGGATTCTGTCACAGTCTGCCTTCCTCATCTCCTGTTCAACTCAGCCATCTCAGTACTTTTCCACTAGGCTGCCCCTGCTCCACTCTGCCAGTCAGCTATGCCTCCTCATCAACCACTTCTTTCCACTTCTTTCCGACCATGCATCAGTCTCCATGAATATACGCTTCCAGGATCGTATCAGCCATGGCGTCTCAATACTCCTCTCCTCCAGGATTTTGTCAACTTTATCTCTCAACAAATAGACTTCTTTTTGAGTGTTAACAGAACCCTAGGTATTTTGAAGCTCGAAACCGATTCAGGCATAACAACTGGTCTGCCGGAAATAAGGTGTTCAAGGAATTTTATACTTCCCTTTACTCATCTGAACAACAATCAACCCTCACTAACTTTAATGTTTTTTTTTTATATATACTATTAATCTTCCCATGCTTGGACAGAGGCTAGCAGAGGAATTAGAAAAAAAAACAATTTCAGCTAAAGAGCTCAAAATGGCTGTGTCTTCATTACAAAGTAGGAAATGTCCTAGGCTCGATGGTTATCCCTCAGAGTACTCAGTGGCACAAATTAGCTCCCCTTCTTATTGAAATCTAGAGTGAATCTTATAATTTAGGTTGCCTTCCAGAAACATTAACTCAAGCCTCAATTTCTTTAATCCTTAAAAAAGGCAAAGACCCCATGTCCTGTGGCCCAATCAGTCTTTTAAATGTTGACTTTTAATTATTATCTAAATTACTGGCACAACAGCTGAAAACTGTCCTTCCCTCTATCATTTCCCCCGACCAGACTTGCTTTATTCAAAATAGGCACTCTTCTTTTAACCTAAGGCGTGTGTTTAATGGGATTTATAATCCCTCTCCCCCTACCCTTCCTGAAGCCCTGATCTTGCTAGACGCAAAGAAGGCATTCGACAGGGTGGAATGGGACTACCTCTTTTTTTGCCCTTCAATAATTTTTTGGGGGGGTGAATTTTATTTCATGGGTTAAATTGCTCTACTCTTCTCCTCAAGCCTCAGTCAGAACTAATAATATCAATTCTGATTATTTTCATTTGTATTGATCTACTAGGCAGGGCTGCCCTCTGAGTCCCTTGTTTGCCATCACCATTGAGCCCCTAACGCAACCCTAACATTCACGTAGTAATGGAGTAGAAATAAAGGTCTGCTTGTATGCAGATGATTTACGCTTATTTCTTTCCAACCTTCTTCTAGCCCCATCACTTTAGGAATACTTCAGGCGTTTGGTAAAATATCTGGGTACAAACTGAACCTGAGTAAAAGTTAAGTATTTACTGTTAATAAGGCAGCCCAAGATTACCTGCTATCTGATATAGGCTACCATTTAAAATTGCTTAAAATTCATTTGTGTACCTGGGAATCAATATTCCCCACCGGTGGGAGAGTCTGTATAAGGAGAAGTTTGTACCTTTACTGTTACAAACTCGTAATGATTTTGCCCCACTGGTCTTTGCATAATTTATCAGCAACTGTTAGGATTAACTCCATAAAAATTTGTTTACTTTTTAAATTTATCTGGAACCATAAAACTCTGTGGCTGTGCAAGCAATATTTACAGAGACCTAAGTCACTAGGGGGATTGTCTCTACCCAACTTTTTATTTCACTATTGGGCCACTAATATTAGATCCTTCAATTACTGGCTACAATATGAAAGCTTCGATATTCCTCCTACATGGCTTACTGTCAAGGCGTTTTTTGCTTCCTAAGGAACATTTTTTCAGGTACCTACAGGCCCGTAGCTTTGTACGCAATATGTTCCCCAGTTTTCCCAATCTGCCTGAGAGTTCACATCTTGATGATTTCTTGACTCCATATTCATCCCTGAAAGGAGCTATCTGTAAAATGTATACACAGATCCACAACTTAAGAATAGATTTACTTGATTCAATCAAGCTATTATGGGAGACGGGAGATGGGGGAGGAAATTAAAATAATATAGGTTTGGGGAGAGATTCTGGAAAAGGTACATAGCTCCTCTATTTGTGCAAAACATAGTTTAATACAGTGTAAAGTAGTGCATGGCACTCATTATACCATGGCTCACCTAGCTAAGATATACAAT